TTAAATAGTACCGGCCTGTGCTCTACGGAAGTGAGATTAAATGAGCTGATGGCCTCAAACATCCAGGCTGTTTGTGGAGGCTGGTGTAGGCCACGCGGGTTGGTGAAGGGCCTGTAACCGAGGGCTCTGTTATTTAGAATGACTTTTTTAAAATGCATCCAAGCCTCTGGGTCCCTGGCACGTCTATTAAAGATTGCTGCCCAGAAATCTATTCCTTGCCTTTCAGAGTTTGCATTTTAGCCCCCCTCCATCAGCTGCGGGCAACGGTAACTTTTCCGGCAGGGGATTTCCCTTGTTTGTTATTGAGGAAGTGCCGGTAGCAGTGAGGGGGCGGGATTGGGGGCATCTGTGTGTGAAAAGGGGAATCCTGGGCACACGTCACCATTCAACTGCTGCCTTCCCCCTCCTCCGTGCTGCCCCATGCCTTGGTAAGATTGGAGGGGCCATGGGGAGCTGGTGAGGCTGTGCGGGACACGGCCCAGCTGGGGGCAGGAGAGTGGAGATGCCAAATGCCTGTCCCAGATACACATGTCCATCTGCATCATGGGAGAGGTGTGAAGTGGCCCATTCACCTCAGGGCACTGAGAACACCCCAGGGAGAAGACTACAGCCTGTAACAATAGCTCGGAGAAGTGCGTCCTGCTCCATTCATCCCAGCGGGTGTTCCCGTCCTGCAGTCTCAGTGCTGTGTGCATGCGCCACGAACTGAGCATGCCCATCCCCAGCGCCCAGCACAGACCCGGGGCGCATACCCCTCGCGTTTCCCAAAGGAGCCCCAGGCACCACGCAAAAGGCAGGGGGGGAGCGAACGCCTGTGGCACAGAGTGGCCCGCGCTGAAGATTTGGCCTCGTTGCCCTTGGCTTTTAGGGGCAGCACTTGTTGCCTTCATCCCTCAGGCGAGGAAACAACAGCAGAGGTCCAAAGGGCTGTCTCCACCAAGGGGCCTTAGCCTCATCGTTGCAAGGCCTAGCTCTTAGGCACCTGCAACAGGGGTTCAGAGGAACACAGAACCATAGGCCTAGAAGGGACCGCGAGCATCATCTAGTGTAACCCCAGCCAAGCGGCAGGATTCGTTGTGTCTGACCCATCCAAGATGGAGACCTGTCCAGCCTCCGTTTGAAAACCTCCGGTCAAGGAGCTGCCTCGGTGCCCTGTCACTCAAATCCCCACCAGTCTGGGTTAACTGGGATCTAAAGGGAGGAGCAATTAACAAATGGAGCCACAAGCTGATAGGCTAATTAGATGGCGGGGAAGGGGAGAAGCAACTTCAGCAGCTGGGAGCAGACAGATGGAGAGGAAGGAAGCCCTGAAAGTGGGTGGGTGGGTTGGTTGCGCTGTCTGCTGCTGCTAGCGCTGCTCCCTTTCACCGAGAAGGAAGAGGGGACGCTGCCTGGGACTGCTAACTATGTAAATAGCCCCTCATAGACTTTAAGGCCAGAAGGGACCATCTGGTCTGGCCTCCTGCACGTCGCGGGCCACAGAACCTCACCCACTCGCTGCTGTAATAGGCCCCTAACTGCCGGCTGAGCAACTGAAGTCCTTGAATCAGGGTTTAAAGACTTCAAGTTACAGGGAATTCACCATTTACACTAGTTTAAGCCTGCAAGTGACCTGTGCCCCATGCTGCGGAGGAAGGCGAACCCCCCTCCCCCCCCCGCCCCAGCATCTCTGCCAATTAGAGTGGAAGAAAAATTCCTTCCTGACCCCAAATGTGGCAATCAGACTGTGAGCATGTGGGTGTGACCCACCAGCCAGAGACCTGGGAAAGAATTCTCTGGAGTAACTCAGAGCCCTCCCCACCTAATGTCCCAATAAACAGTACAATAAAGCCCGGTGGTGGTGAAGGTGGCCTGTACCTACGGTGAGAAAGACTCACAGGCGGCCACCCCATGGCACCAACCTTCAATCCACAGTCCTGAGTTAGGGGCCCAGGCTCTCTATACAGTGCGGGGGCAGAGAGAGGTGCCTGGGAATGGGATCCACAAATGCCAGCATGCTGAGTGCTGCGTAAGCCACCCAATAGCAAATGCTGAGGGGGCACCCTAAGCCAGGACCCAAATATTCGCTGGGCCAGATGCAGAGCAAGAACGACTTGTAGCCCAGTTGTTAGGAGGGTTAGCTGGAATGTGGGTGCTACAGGTTCCACTGAACTATTTGTGCCCCCATGGAACAGCTGCAGTAGGAGAGACCGAGAAAGTCCTGCTCCCAGACATCCTGTCGTCCAGTGGTTCGGGCACTAACTGCAGATGTAGGTTCACTTCCCATCAGGCAGAGGGGAGATTTGAACCTGGGCCTTCTACGTTTTGGGCTCTAACCACAGGGCTAAAACCTGGAGCCGGCCCTGCTCCCGGAGGCTCCCCTCCTGCGTCCTGGTGGCTGCTGGGGGATGGAATCCAGCCAGGCCCTTTCCCTGCGCCGGGGAGAGCGGGGCGGCTAAGGGAGGGAGACCCCGACGGGCAGGAGCGAACCCCCCAACCCCTGCCCCATGGGGGAGAGGAGGGGCCTGGGCTGCCCCGAAGGCCCAGCGGCCTGGGGGGAGGGTCCCTGGCTGGCTCAACAGCACAGACCCCCGGGCTGCCCCGGAGCTGGCTGGGGGGGTCTCTCCTGTCCCAGTTTGGCTCCAATGCCCCTGGCCCTGCGGCCACTTCCTGTCTCCCCCTCCCTGGGGCTGCTTCTTGCTGCGACTCGCTGCACCCGGTGCCCCACTCACTGCCCTGGGGCTGCAGCCTGCGTAGGGAGACTTGCTCTGGCGCACATGCGGGACCCAGGCAGCCGGGGCGCTGGGGCAGGAAGGTCCCTGGACAGCGCCATGAGATGGGCTCTGCCTGGGAAAGGGAGGAAGACAGGAACTCCCTGCAACCCCTCCCCCCACCAACCCTTCCCTCTGCCAGGGTCTCGGGGTGTCTTTGCCCCCCAGTGCCAGTTGCACAGCTCATTGCTCCTATCAGCTGAGCTCAGTGACCGCCCCAGCAGCTCCCTCCATGGCAATTTCTAATTTTGTACATTCGTTCTTGCCTGCCCGTCTGAGGGCTCAGTCATGTGGGTGGCCACCTGCCACGCTCCATTGGGCCTCTGGGACGAGCTGGCTTGGGGGAATGTTGTGAGGCTGGAAGGCATCCATGACTGCCATCAGCCATGTCTTTCCTCTCTAGCCAAACCACGACAGGCCTGGCTGAAGCTGCAGGCTTTGCTAACCGGATGCCTGGGGCTCTGGGTGGCTCCCCCAGGCCGGTTTTCTGATCTTCTCCAAAATCCCCAGGGGTCTGATCAGCAATGCTGTGAACATTCCCTGGAGTTCTGGAATCAATTTCGTGTCTCATGCCACCAAGTTCGGGGTGGGGCCTCACTTCACTCAGCTAGCGATTGGTCCATCTCTCCATCTGTCCAATCAATCAGTCCATCCATGTGTGTCAGAGCAATCCAGCTCGGTGCTCCCTCCACAGGTCAGAGGTCCATTCTAACCTGGCCCAGTCCCCCTCTGTGTGGACACCCATCCATTGCCAGTGGGCCCCGGTCGTTGGATCCCATGTGCTCTCAAGTCCCCTGGCTCTGGGCAGAGTCTAGTCCCTGTTTCCAGCTCTGGGTCTATGGGGCACATGCCCAGGCTCAGACCTCTTGTCTGAGCCCGTCCTTGGGACATGGGACTCCACCATCCAGCCGTCCTAGATCCTGAAACCTTCGAGTCTCTCCCCCCAGCCCCAGTGGCCAAGGCTGTGGGCACTCTGGGCTTCTAGTTTAACCCTTTCACGGCCAATGGGGTGGGAAAATGTAGAGAGGGGGCATAGCCTCCCTTGGAGACTGATAGGGAGGAGGTACCATTCACCCTGGTGGGTGGAGCCGAGCCAGCCGGAAGCAGAGAGGTGGGACAGGACGTTTAAGAGGCGGGCCCAGCAGCTCAGTTTTGGGCCAGAGCTGGTGAAGGAGACAGATGCATCCTACCTGTGCTGAGCCCCAGGCCCGAGGACAAGCCCTGCGGCACTGAGGCCCAGAAGGACTGCTGGGCTGGCTGACGGCTGACCACGTGCATCGGAGAGATGGAGAACCCCCACGAGATAGCGGTACACAGCAGTGGGGTCATAGGAAGTAGGCCAGGGACACCAGACAATAGTCCAGTTGTGCAGAGGCGCCATTTCAGATTTTGGTCAGGGAGGCAACTTTAACCATGATTCCAGGGGCTACTTAGGCACCTGAAAACTAGTTTTTTTGGCAGGTAACTTAGCAATTAGCTGACAGGAGCCCTGTATCTAATTCCTATATAAAAGAAAGAAAATTAAATAAAATATTAGACCCACTCAGCGCTAACACTAACATGTTCTGACATCTTGTGGCAAATCACTGAAGGGACACTAGTTAAGTTTAAAATTGTAATGTATATTCTTACTTTGTTACTAACTCTGCGGAGAGAGAGGCCCAGTCAAGACTCCTGGGTTCTATCCCAGCTCTGGGAGGGGAGTAGGAACTAGTGGGTTACAGTGTGGGGCAGATACATCTGGGTTCTATATAAGAACATCAGACTGGCCATATTGGGTCAGACCAATGGTCCATCTAGCCCAGTATCCTGTCTTCTGATGGTGGCCAATTCCAGGTGCTTCAGGGGGAATGAACAGAACAGGTCATCATCAAGTGATTCATCCCCCCATTGCCTACTCCCAGCTTCTGGCAAACAGAGGCTAGGGACATGCAGAACATGGTGTTACATCCTTCCCCATCCTGGCTAATAGCCATTGATGGACCTATCCTCCATGAACTTATCTAGTTCTTTTTTGAACCCTGTTATACTTTTGGCCATCACAACACCCCCTGGCAATGAGTTCCACAGATTGTCTGGAAAGAAATACTTTCTTTTGTTTGTTTTAAAGCTGCTGCCTATTAATTTCATTGAGTGACCCCTTGTTCTTGTGTTATGTGAAGGAGTAAATAACACTTCCTTATTCAAATTTTCTACACCAGTCATGATTTTATAGACCTCTGTCATATCCCCCTTAGTTGTCTCTTTTCCAAGCTGAAAAGTCCCAGTTTTATTAATCTCTCCTCATATGGAAGCTGTGCCATACCCTTAGTCATTTCTCTTGCTCTTCTCAGTACCTTTTCCAATTCCAATATATCTTTTTTGAGATGGGGTGACCAGATCTGCACGCAGTATTCAAGATGTGGGCGTACCATGGATTTATATATCGGCAATATGATATTTTCTGTCTTATTATCTATCCCTTTCTTAATGATTCCCGTCATTCTGTTAACTTTTTTTGACTGCCACTGCACGTTGAGCAGATGTTTTCAGAGAACTATCCACAATGACTCCAAGATCTCTATTTTGACAGGTAACAGCTAATTTAGACCCCATCCTTTTATATGTATAGCTGGGATTATGTTTTCCAATGTGCATTACTTTGCATTTATCAACACTGAATTTCATCTGCCATTTTGTTGCCCAGTCACCCAGTTTTGCGAGATCCCCTTGTAACTCTTTGCAGTCAGCTTTGGACTTAACTATTTTGAGTAATTTTGTATTATCTTCAAATGTTGCCACCTCACTGTTTACCCCTTTCCCCAGACTATTTTAATATGTTTAATAGGACTGGTCCCGGAACAGACCCCTGGGGACACCACTATTTACCTCTCTCCATTCTGAAAACCCACCATTTATTCCCACCCTTTGTTTCCTATCTTTTAACTGGAGTGCCTGGCAGTGTATTCAGGATCCTCTAAGCCTACACTGGCAATTTGCAGCGCTGCAACTTTCTGGCTCATGGGTGTGAAAAACCACCCCCCTGAGCGCAGCAAGTTTCAGCGCTGTGAAGCGCCAGTGTAAACAGCGCCCCAGCGCCGCTCGTTGTGGTTTTTTCAGAGCGCTGCGCCGCGACCACACGTGGCACGTTAAAGCGTTGCCGCGGCAGCGCTGTAGCGTTGCCAGTGTAGACTAGCCCTAAGTTCTGTGCTGGTCCCAGCTTCTGGGCAGGGAGTTTGTTTCTAAACAGAGGCGGAGCGATCAAGATACCAAAAGGCTTGTCGTTAAATGAAATTAAGGATCCTTAGAGCAGTGGTCTCCAAAGTGGGGTGCGCGGCAGGAGGAGCACTTTTTTTTTTGCTTCGTCAGGCGTGAGTCCGAGGGGTTTTTTGTTTTGTTTTTTTTCGGCGCGGCAGGGGGTGCGTGCTCAAAGTTTTTTTACTGATAGGGGGGCGTGATCAAAAAAGTTTGGAGACCACTGGTCTAGGGTTACTTGGTCCTGCCTCTGCGCAGGGGGCTGGACCTGATGACCTCTCGAGGTCCCTTCCAGCCCTACATGGCTATGATTCTCTGGGCCCTCAGAGAAAGGTTGGGGGAGGGGAGGGCCCCTGCCAGGGGTCAGGCAGACGAGACGGCGTTCTGCAGGGGTTTGTGTCAGGATCAGAGCGGCAAATCGTGATAACTGGGAGTCCAAGCAGCTTCTGAGCTTCCCTGCAGGCGAGAACAACACATCCAGGGCCATGTTGAGCCCTGAGACAGGGCCCTCAGCACAGAGACGGGGGAGGCAGATCCCGGTGGGGAAGTTTATTTCCTACAGATACAATTGACTAACACCACAGGAGACTGGGTCATCACCAAAAACAGCAGGAGGGTGGGATCCAGGGGCCTGATGGGAACCGAGAGCCAAGGGTGGGGCTGGCTGGATGCCAGCTGCACCAAGCACAGGAACGGATGTTCTCCAGGTGCCAGTGGACTCTGTGCACCGTGGAAAGAGGAGCCAGGCTCTGGAGACGCCACCAGGGAGAAGGAGATCAGGCACTCCCTCACCCCCCGCCCAGCCGTATGGGAGCATACGTCTGTCTGGCCTCTGACAGCAGCCTCCTCCAGTTTCCAGCAGTCTCACGCACCCCTCCCCATGGCTCCCTATACCCCCCCCCAGCCCCTGGGAGAGGGGAAGGAGCAGAGAGTGAGGCCCAGAGCTGTGGAGTTCCAGGGGAACGAAGGAACAGGTCCCCCCCAACCCCACCTAGGAGCAGGCACAGACAAAAGCCCCCAAGTCCTTCAGAGATCACTCCCTCACTATTACGGGGATTCTCACCTTTTCCCTACCAGGATCCCACTGCCTTATAGCCGGGAAACCCCCTCCCCCCCCTTAGCAACAAGGAAGGGGTAGGGTTACCACGACCCCCTTTCTGGGGCAGCGATCCCAGGGTGAGAACCCTGCCGTGTGGCCTCTAAGCATTTCTAATAGCCCCATCTTGACTGGGCCAGAAGGGACCCCCACGTTCAGTTCCTTCCTCACTTCAACTAATTTCCACCCATGGGCCCCTCAGTCATTCCCGTCCCCCGTTCCCCCCATACACACGCTGCATCCATAGCGCAATGGGCTGTCCCTTGCCCCAGAGGAAAAACTATGTCAGGTCTCTGGTCTCTAAGATCCTTGGTTTCTAAGGAGGCCTGGTCCCTAAAGAGACCTGGTCTCTGGCTTCTAAGGAGGCCTGGTCCCAGGTCTCCAAGGTCCTTGGTTTCTAAGGACGCCTGGTCCCTAAAGAGGCCTGGTTTCTGGTCTCTAAGGAAGCCTGGTTTCTAAGGTCCCTAAAGAGATGTGAACAGTGAACAGAACTGTCCTCACATGGGGACTCTAGGCCACATGGACCCTTTGGTGCCGGACAAGGTGGGAGCTGAGGATGAAGCTCCTCCCACACTCTGGGCATTTGTAGGGTTTCTCTGCCGAATGGGTGCGCTGGTGCTGATTCAGGGTGGAGCTGTCACCAAAGCCCTTCCCACACTCGGAGCACTTGTAGGGCCGCTCCCCGGTGTGGATGCGCTGGTGCTGGATCAGGGCCGAGCTGTCCCCAAAGCCCTTCCCACACTGGGTGCATTGGTAGGGTCGCTCCCCCGTGTGGGTGCGCTGGTGCTTGATGAAAGCCGAGCCCCAGCTGAAGCTCTTCCCACACTTGGGGCAGCTGTAGGGCCGCTCCCCGGTGTGGGTCCGCTGGTGCTTCACCAGGGTTGACTTGTGCCGGAAGCTTTTCCTGCACTGGGGGCATTTGTAGGGCTTATCGCCACGGTGGGTCCTCTGGTGCCCAATCAGGGTGGAGCTGTGGCTGAAGCTCATCCCACAATCAGCGCACTTGTAGGGGCGTTCCCCCGTGTGGACCCGCTGGTGCTGAACCAGGTGCGAGTTCCGGCTGAAGCTCTTCCCGCACTCGGTGCATTTGTAGGGCCGCTCGCCCGTGTGGATGCGCTGGTGCTGGATGAGGTAGGAGCTGTCGCTGAAGCTCTTCCCGCAGTCAGGGCATTTGTAGGGTCTCTCACCGTGATGCACCTTCTGGTGGCGGGTAAGGCCTGACTTGTCTCCGAAGCTTTTCCCACAGTCTAGGCATTCGTAAGGCCGCTCGCCCGTGTGGGTGCGGCGGTGCTGCAGGAGGTAGGAGCTGTCGTTGAAGCCCTTCCCGCAGTCAGGGCATTTGTAGGGCCTCTCACCGGTGTGGATCCGCTGGTGCTTGGTGAGGTGGGAACTCTGGCTGAAGCTCTTCCCGCACTGGGAGCAGCTGTAGGGTCTCTCCCCCGTGTGGATCCGCTGGTGCTTAATAAGATCTGAATACTGGCTAAAGCTCTTCCCACATTGCCCACAGATGGTCAGTCTCTGGGGGACAGACATGCTATTGAGAAGCCCAAATCCATTTTCCACCCCTCGGAGGTCTCCCCTCTGCCGTCCCACCCTGTTGGCCTCTCCTTGCTCGGGGCTCTGCCACGGCCTGTGTGGCTCCTGCTGGGGATTCTCCTCCTCCTTCCTGGCACCTGTTGGGAGAAAGAGAAAATCCAGTTCTGTGACAGGGAGAGAGGGGGCAGCAAAGGGATTTGTCACCAAACAGAAAACCTGATGGGCAGGAAGCAAACCCCCCACCCCCAAACCCTTCCCACACGGGAGAGGAGGGGCCAGCAAAGGAATTTGTCATTCACCCATTGATACGTCTGAAAAGTTTAATCTGGTTGTGAAGGACGGGGGAAAGGGAGAAAGTCACCTCACCTATCTACCCTAACCTCTCTGTGTTGTGTCTACTCCTCCTAAGCTAATCTGTGAATCCTCCCTTATCCCATGGCAGTTTATGGTATCCATTCATCCAAATCCCGGGTCTAGTTCTGGTGTCCACAACTTCAGAAAAGGTGTTAACAAATTGGAGAGGGCTCAGAGAAGAGCAACAAGAATGATTTGTCCGTTCTAGATAACCTGTCTTATAGCGTACAAAGCTCAGTTGATTTAGCCTATCAAAGGGAAGTGACTTGATCACGGTCACTGGAAGACGATATCGTCATCGATTTTAAGGCCAGGAGGGACCATCTAGTCTGACTTCCTGTGCAACCCAGGCCAGAGGACATCCCTCCTGATAATTTCTGTTTGAACCAGAGCAGGTCTTCTAAAAACAAAAACAACTAAAAAAACAAACAAACCACCCAATCTTGATTTTTCAAATTGCCCATGGTAGAGAATCCACTACGATCCTTGGTCAGTTGTCACATTGGCAAATTGCCCTCACTATCACAAATGTTCACCTTGTTTCCAGTCTGAATTTGTCTGGCTTCAAATTCTAGCCTTTGGGTCCTGTTAGACCTTTGTCTGCTAGACTGAAGAGCCCACTACTAAAATTTTGTTCCCCACATATGTAGTTAGACTGCTCAAAGCACCCCTTAACCTTCTCTTTATTAAGCTAAATAGATGGAGCTCCTGGAGTCTATCATCCTAAGGCAGGTTGTCCAATCCTTCAATCATTCTTGTGGCTCTTCTCTGACCCCTCTCCAATTTATTAACATCCTTCTTGAAGTGTGGACCCCAGAACTGGACAGTCTACAGTAATGGCATCACCCTCCCCTAGTCCTTTTCAGAGTCACTCCTTCCCAGGTCTGCGGTATCTTTGATACAAGAAAGCTTTTTAATCTACTGGACAAAGGGAGAACGAGACCCAACAGCTGGGAATTGAAGCTGGACTAATTCAAACTGGAAATAAGATATTGATTCTTAACAGGGAGGGGATTTAGTCAGTGGAACAGCCTTACCAAGGGATGGGATGTATTTTCCATTACATGGAGACGGGGTTGTCTTTCTTTACGGAGACAGTGCGGCCTACTGGATAGAACACCAGGAGTCCTGGGTTCTATTCCTGGCTCTGCTACTGGGATGCCTTGGGCAAGTCCATTTCCCTCTCTGTACCTCAGTTTTCCCATCTGTAAAACGGGAAACGAGCCCTCCTCTATGAAAGTCCCACGACGATGCTCTCCAGCCTGGGCTACGCAGGAAGGGCAGGCTGGACAACCATCATGGTTACTTTTGGCCAACCATCTAGGGATCTATGGATGGTCCCCTCTGGTTTTCCAATCCATGACACTAATCAGCCTGCCACAAGCCTTTAGGAATGCTCCCCTGGCCCAGCTTATCTAGTGCCCCCATCCAGACCAAGGCCACCATGTCTAGTTATAGAGGCAGAGATGTGGAGGATGAGTGAGGGTACGTCTGCTCCAGCGTGAGCAGCCCCCCTGCCAAGCTCTGTCCAAGTAACCACGTCCTCTGGTGCTGCCTTCCCCCATGCAGGTGGGTTGCAATGCCAGGGCTTCTGGGGAGCACATCCCACAATGCTTTGTGCTGCACTCAGCTGAGTTTGCTCGGTGATTCTTTCCCAGTGCATCCTGGGAGATGCCACCTGGCCTTCTGGGCACATGGGGATGATGGGAAGGCGTCAGCCGACTAGCGGCCCGCAAGGGGCTTAGCCAGCATCCTCACTGCGAAGCGGGGAGGTTAGCAGCCAGGTCGAGTACTTGAGGAAGACCCATATGGGGGGCAAGTGGCCGGATCACCTGGCCAAGGCTAAATGAAGGAGCCTGCAGCTGGCTAGATCTCCAGAAGCCAAGAGGACTCCCATGGGGCCTGGAAGCCAAACACGATGGAGAGCTGGTGCCCTTGTCCCCTGGGGAGGAGGGACAGAAATAGGGACACTCCTTGTCCCCGGCTGGGGACGATACTGAGCGAGTGGAGACAGACCTGTGGGGCTCCCGCTGGCTTGGCTGGGACCCCAACTTTTCCCTTCAGTCCCAGCCAGCGTCGCTCATTCCTCACCTGTGCGGGCGCCTCTGGGGAGCTCCCTTCCCGGGGAGCCCTGGAGATCCGGGACCCGCGGCTCTGCCCCTGGCTCCATGCGGGGGATCGCGGCCGGGCCGGGGGATCCCGCTTGGAGAAATCTCCCCCCGGGGCAGAGAACGCGCCCGGGCTTTGGCCCCGCCGGCCCCGCTCTCTGCTGCGGGGGAAGCGGATCCAGGCCGGGGACCCTTCGGGGCAGCGAGATCGCGGGGGAGAACCGGGCTCCCCAACCGGGCTGGGCTCCGCTCCGGTCCCCTCCGGGCAGCGATTTCCTGCCCCTGCTGCTGTTTCCCCAGCGGGGACTCGGCCCTGCGCGCACCCGGGCCAGGACTCGGGCTCCGGGGGGGCTGGACAGGAAGGTCCCTGCGCTGCTCCAGCCCCGCGGCTGGCAGCTCCCTGGGAAGCGGAAGGTTCAGGAGAGCGGGGGATTTAACCCCTTCTTCTCCGGGCCTTGCAGAGACACCGCTGGTTAGAGTCACTTCCGATCCCCCGCTCCCCTTTCTACAGTGCTTAGCTCGTGCTCTTCTCCTCGCTGGGACCAGGACCCAGGAGCCCTGACCCCCCTAGACCCCACTCCCTTCCCCCGAGAGCTGGGGATAGGAGTAGAACCCAGGAGTCCTGACTGCCACTAGACCCCACTTCCTCTCCCCACACACCTGCGGATAGAAGCTAGAACCCAGGAGTCCTGACCCACCGATTCAATTCTTATCTAGGCAGAAGACTCCTCAAAACTACCACACAACCAGGTGAGACGTGCAGATGGTGACAAAAGAGATCCAGGAAAGGTGATGAATATACACAATAACCCACTGTAGTTAAGACGTTCAATGGGCCTAGAGTATGTAACAGAGCTTTCTTACACCTGTGCTATCCAGATACAAGAGGAGAGATTACCAATAGGGCCCTACCATTTTCACAGTCCATTTTGGTCAATTTCACAGTCAAAGGATTTTTAAAATAGTAAATTTCATTATTTCAGATATTTAAATCTGAAATTTCATGGTGTTGTAGGCAGCCTGACCCAAAAAGGAGTTGTGGGGGAGATCACAAGGTTATGGGGGGGGGGGTGTTGTTGTACTGCTACCCTTACTTCTGAGCTGCTGGAGAGCGGCGGCTGCTGGCCGGGAGTCCAGCGCATGAGTCAGGATGGCCTGGTATGGTATTGTCACCCTTACTTCTGCACTGCTGCCTGCAGAGCTGGGCCCTCAGTCAGCAGCCGCCACTCTCTGGTCGCTCAGCTCTGAAGGCAGCAGCGCAGAAGTAAGTGTGGCATGGTCTGGTATTGCCACCTTACTTCTGTGCTGCTGCTGGTGGGGCGCGGCCTTCAGAACTGGGCACCTGGTCAACAGCCGCTGCTCTCTGGCCGCCCAGCTCTGAAGGCAGCACAGAGATAAGGGTGGAAATACCATGACCCCCATAAAAAAATAACCTTGCAACCTGCCTGCAGTGCCCTGTGGGTCAGGCCCCCAATTTGAGAAACCCTGGTCTCCCCCATGAAATCTATGGTAAAAGCACACAAAAAAACAGATTTCACGGTCCATGATGTGTTTTTCATGGCTGTGAATTTGGTAGGGCCTTAATTATGAGTAATGTGAGACCACATTATCGGACAAGCTTGTGAGGGTCTAAGCGCTGCTTGATGGTGTTTCTGTTTGTATTGTTTCGCATGGATCCCTCAGCCGGTGCTGAGATACAGCTGTTTTGGGGGTGGAATGTGGGGCCTGTTTATACAGGATCCCTCACCTGCTGCTAAGATGTAGCCATCTCGGAGAGGGGTGTGGGGCTGTCTATACAGGGATACCTCGCCCATTGCTGAGATGCAGTCACCGCTGAGGTGGATTGTGGGAGCTGTTTCTATAGGATCCTGCACCTGAATCTGAGATGCAACCACCTCTGGTATGGGGCATGAGGGCTGTTTATACAGAGATCCCTCCCAATTTTTAAACCAATGTTATGGGTTTTGTTTTTGTTTTAGGATATATTTCATGAGTTTTGAACACTCCAGGCCCGTCAAGACCAAGATTTTTATTATGAGAGTAATAATAATTCCTAGCTCTTATGTGCATTTGTAAATCTCAGGTCACTTTACAGGAGAGGGTAGTATCATTATCCCTTTGACATCCTGACATCCCCATATTCACCACTGTCATAGAATTTTAATATGTTTTGTACATGCCTTGTTGAGGTATCATTCTAAAAGTCTTGATCTGTCAAACATTAATATCCTGTTGGATTGTAGGTGTTATCGTTGTATGTGACGTTACAAAGTTTTGCCATGTATGTGTTACTGAAAGATGTTGTGAAGTTGAAAACACCCACAACTAGCCTTTCAGGTAGAACAATGGAGTAGCCAGACCGTGTTAATTGCTGTCATCAACACCCATCCAGCGAAGAATCCACTAGCACAGGGAGTCTGTATAAGGAAGTTTCCTCGGAGGGAGCACGTAGGCAATGGAGAATGTTTGGCCAATGGGGTGGACTCCCCATGTCACATTTATAGGTTCTTCCAGCTTGCTGGAAAGTCTCTGCACGATGAGGAGTGACATCATGACTTGGTCTTCACTCCCCCACAACTCAACACCTGAAAGAAGCCCTGGGAGACAAAGGACTCTGAATGGGGGAGGGGAACCCAAGCTGCAACGCAGATGCGGCTTGTGCCTCAAGAATCTGTAAGCCTGCTTGTATCATCAGACAGGGTGAGATGTTGCTGATTCTAGTTTGTATAAGACTTAGTTTGTGATTTTGTTTATTTACTAGGTAATCTACTTTGATCTGTTTGCTATCACTTAAAATCTATCTGCACTGGTACTCGACCGGCCCATCACTCTCCCTGAAGCCCTTACCACACTCGGGACACTTGTAGTGCTGCTTCAGCACCCACTGTGTCCTCCAGTGTTGAGTGAAATGCAAGGCTAACCAGAAGCCTTTCCTCCAGCTGCCATGTCATCGCAGCCGCACCAGGAGGGCCACTCTTCGGTGGGGGTATGCTGGTGCTGCAGGGATGGGAACTCTCAGCAAAGCTCCTCCCTTATTTGGTGCCCTTGTAGGGCGCCTCTCCGGTGGGGATGACCAGTGGGTGGCCAGGTTGGAGCACAGCTGAAGCTCCTCCCACAGTCCAGACATTTGTAGGGGTGGGTCACCCAGGTGGGTCTGGCAGTGATGGAGCAGACACCAAAGCCCTTCCCGCAGTCAGGATGTTGATGGGGTCTCCTCACTGCATGGGCACGTTGGAGCTTGGAGAGGGACTATCTCTGCCCAGATCACCGCCCACACTCGGGACATGCATGGGGTCTCTGCCCAGTGTGGACCATGTGGTAGGGAGCCAGCATCGCGCTCCCCCAAAGCCCTTCCCGAAGTCGGGGCATCAGTCAGGGTGCTCACCCATGTGGATGTGCTGGTGTTTCACGAGACTTATTCTCTGGACACCTCTTCGTGTTCTCTCTCTTCTTCTAAGCAAGATTTTCCTCCCCTGGCCCTGGCCTGGGGTCCATTTTGTCTTGACTCTCACTGGCATCTTCAGGCTCCGGGACATCCCATGCGGCTCTGCTCTTGCAGGCCCTTCCTGCTGGTGATTTTCCTCCATCCTGGCACCTGCTGGGAGACTGAAAGAATCCAGCCAGGGCTCATTTCCTGCGCTGGGGAGAGAGGGGGCAGCAAAGGGGTTTGTCACTGAGAAGAAAATTTGATGGGCAGGAAGCGAATCCCCCCAAACCCTTTCCCAGAGGGGAGAGGAAGGGCTGGGTCTGTCCCAACGGCCCAGGAAAGGCCTCAGATAAAGGCTGGGGGAGGGGAGGGCTACTGCCAGGGGTGGGATCCAGGAGTGACGGCTGCCATGAGAACAGGGACCTGCTGGGAATGATACTGAGCAAGATGAGACAGAATTGGGGGGGCTCCTGGCGGCCTTACTGGATCCCAGCTTTTCCCTTCAGTCCCAGACAGTCTCTGAGCCGGTGTCACTCATTCCTCATCTGTCCGGGATCCTCTCGGGATCTCCCTTTCCTCAGAGCCCTGGAGATCTGGGATGCTCGGCTCTTCCCTTCGCTCCATCTGGGAGATCACAGCTGGGTTGGGGACGGGGAATCCTGCTCAGGGGAAGGAAGCAGGCAAGGTGGCGCTTGGTGAAGTCTCCCCCAAGAACTTATACAGAGAATGTGCCCTGATTTTAACCCCAGCCCTATTCCCTGTCAGGGGGATGTGGGATCTGAGCAAAGGGAAAATGTTCATAGGGATCCTTTTGGGTACCGAAATGCCTGGGGGAAGATGGCCTGCACCATCTGTAGGAGAGGGATCCCCCCTACACACGGGCAGTGTGAGGGTTTAGGCCCAGCACAGGTATCCCATCACAGTGATAGTCAGACTAGTGACTATGTAAAAAGGGGTCCTTACAAACACAGTCATTGCCTCACTGGAGCAACAAGAGAACCTGGGGAACTACTGACCGGTCAGCCTCACTTCAGTCCCTGGCAAAATCATGGAGCAGGTCCTCAAGGAATCCATTTTGAAGCACTTGGATGAGAGGAAGGTGATCAGGAACAGTCAGCATGGATTCACCAAGGGCAAGTCATGCCTGACCAACCTGATTGCCTTCTATGGTGAGATAACTGGCTCTGTGGATGAGGGGAAAGCAGTGGATGTGATATATCTTGACTATAGCAAAGCTTTTGATATGGTCTCCCACAGTATTCTTGCCAGCAAGTTAAAGAAGTATGGAATGGATGAATGGACTATAAGGGGGATAGAAAGCTGACTAGATTGTGGGGCTCAACGGGTAGTGATCGAAGGCTCGATGTCTAGTTGGCAGCCGGTATCAAGCGGAGTGCCCCAGGGGTCAGTCCTGGGGGCCGGTTTTGTTCAACATCTTTATTAAGGATCTGGATGATGGGATGAATTGCAGATAACACTAAGCTGGGGGGAGAGGTAGATATGCTGGAGGGTAGGGATAGG